TTCTCAGCGAGCAGCACTAAGTCGTCGATGTAGACAAGAATGTAAAGCCTGTGGGGGAAAGTGTGAATGAAGAGATTGGGATTGGAAGAAGAGGTGGAGAAGCCAAGAGAGTAAAGAGTAAACGCGAGTTTGGCATGCCACTCGCGAGGGGCCAGCTTGAGGCCGTACAGAGGGCGCTTCAGCTCCCAGGCAGTGCCTCGAGAAAATGGATGGGGAAAGCCAGCGGGGCGCTCAAGAACGATGCGTTCATGAAGCTCGCCCCGAAGGAAGGCATTGGAGACGTCCATAGTGTGGATCTCCCAATCCCAGCGAGCACCTAAGTCAAGAAGGAGGCAAAGAGTAGGGAGACGAGCAGTGGGGGAGAAGGTGGCAAAATAGTCAATGCCTTTGCGCTGGGTAAAGCCCTTAGTGCAATAGCAGGCTTTGAAGACAGGGGGCTCCTTAGGCAACTGCTTGACACGAAAGACCCATTTGCCTTTGACAATGGTGGCACCAGAGGGGGGGACAGAGTCGACGTAGGAATGAGTACGAGTGAACGCCTCACACTCAGCAATGATGGCAACCATCCACTCAGTGGCGTGGAAGCCAGAAACTGCCTCAGAGCCGGTCTGAGGGGTGGGAATGGTGGCAGTGTCGACAGAGAGAAGAGTGGGAGAATTGCAGAAGTCGCCGATGGTGACACTGAGAAGAGGAGAAACAAGATGGATAGTAAAAAGTTCCTCATGTTAGTGTTAGCCGTCAATCTCACACTTTGTACTTTGTATTTTCTATATCCTAGAGTTGTGTAGTTTGCACTTTGTGTTTGGTTGGGTGTACACCTACATCCCAACCAAACCCAAATGTAATCTCCAAGCAATCTCCAACCTGCCAATTGGATATTGCCTTGGGATTACCCCCAATCCCTAGGGATTGCCCCCGATTCCCTTCCCAGTGACAAGGACACGGGAGGCCATGCCTCGGAGACGAGGAAGAGAGGGGTCACCAAGGCGGTGGTGCCAGAGGAGAGTCTGGTGAGACAGGAGGCAACACGAGCAGGGGGCAGACTTAGGACCAGACCGGGACGCTGCAGCAAACACCTGACCCGACGCGGCTACCAGACCAGACTCAGCAACCGGAGGAGACACTGTAGTCAGGGTGTACAGGCTCGACCTAGGCTGACGGGTGAACGTGGCCAGGTGCCGGCCCGTCTGAGTACACGAACAGTGGGTCACCCGCTGACCTCCAGGAGTGAACTGGTCAACCCACGCCGCCTGAAGGTCAGCTCCACTCACCAAGTTCGTGGAGAACGAGAAGAGGTGGAGGCCAGATAGAGAGCCGGACGAGACCGCCGGACACGCCAGAACTGTGGAGGAGTGTGCAAGGACCGAACCCCCAGAGGGGTCAGCCAGAGAGAGTGCCACTGGCCGACTGACCGGCGAGAGTGTGGTGCAGTCGTGAAAGAAGGAGCGGAAAGCACCCGAGTCAAGGGTGAAATTGTGCAAGGCCGCGGCAGGCGTAGTACCAGAGAGAGCAGACTCACCAGCGCCTAGAGCAGTGGACTCACTAGCGCCTAGAGCAGCAAAATCACCAGCACCTGGAGCAGGAGACGCACCAGCACTTAGAGCAGCAGCCTCACCAGTACCTAGAGCAGTAGACTCTATACCTGGGTCAAGCGGCACACACAGGTAACAAGCACCCTCAGCACTAGTAGGCAATGCATACATGGCAGTGAAGATAGCATCATAGTCAAGAGCAAAGATACATACCCTCTGTCGAAGTAGCTCCAGCCAGGAGGGGAGCTCAGCGTCGTCGCCAAACTCTGTATGCCAGGCGTCGCTCAGACTGGGGAAGCAGCGGGACTCTGTGTGACCAACCGTCCCGCAAGGCTGACCAGCCCGAGCACCAGTGCGAATGATGTACCGGCAGCGAGCTGTACTCTATGACCCTCTAATCTGAGCGTACCACTCACGAAGCTGCTGGGGCGAAAGAACCGCGCGCGGACGCAGCTGCAGCTACACCTGGTCACTACAAGAAGCTCCCGAACGACCCGCTCCAGGGCGACTCCCACCATGGCCACCCCTACAACCCCAACTAGCGTACCACTCACGAAGCTGCTGGGGCGTGAGGGACGCGCGCGGACGTCGCTGGAGCTGCATTTGGCCACCGCCAGTAGCAGCAGTAGCACCTAGGGCAGCAGCACCTAGGGCTCCTCTTTTCTTTTCTTTTTCTTTTTTCAAAAATTATTATTTTTTTTTTAGGGTTTGGCAGGGCGCACTGGGCGCTGCAGAGGCGGCTCGCGGGCTGCAGGGGTGGCTCGCGGGCTGTAGGGGCAGTGCGCTGGCTGCAAGAGGCAGGCGCGCTGGCTGCAGGGGCCGTTCGCGGGTTGTAGGGGAGGCTCGCCGGCTGTAGACGGACGGCGCACGGGCTGCAAGGGTCTGCGCGCGGGCGGCTTGCACGGGGCGGCGCGTCGCGGGGCGGGTAGGGGCGGCGCGTAGGTACGCAGGGCGGACGGACGTCGCGGCGGGCTGGGGCAGCCCGCTCTGGCGACGCGACGGGCACGGGCAGGGCCGACGAGCGACGCGACAGGCTGCAGGGGCGCGCGACGCGACGGGCTGCAGGGGCGTGCGACGGGACGGGCTGCAGGGGCGCACAGCGCGGTGGGCAGCCGGGGCGCGCGATGCGACGGGCAGCAGGGGCGCTTAGTAGGGGCGGGTGCAGGGCAGGGCCGCGGTGGGTGGTTAAGTCAGGGCTGCAACGGGGCGGCTGTAGGGCAAGGCCGCGACGAGGCGGCGGCAGAGCAGGGCCGCGACGGGGCGGCAGCAGGGCAGGGCCGCGACGGGGCGGCTGTAGAGCAGGGCCCCGACGAGCGGCTGAGGGCAGGGCCGCGACGGGTGGCGGCAGGGCAGGGCCGCGACGGGCGGCGAGGTCAGGGCCGCGACGGGCAGCGAGGTTGGGGCCGTGACGGGCCGTTAGGGTAGGGCCGCGACGAGCCGAGAGGGCAGGGCCGCTACGGGCCGAGAGGGCAGGGCCGCTACGGGCGGCAATAAGGCAGGGCGCGCGACGGCGCAGGTGAGGCAGGCGCGAGGCGCGCTTCGGGCAGGGCAGGAAAAAACGATCGTGGTGGGCCCTTAAAAAAAACGTTACCACTAGGGAACCTGCTCTGAAACCATGTGAAAGATAGAACGAGGAATAACTAGAAACAAGGCAGTATAAGGTTTGTATAGCAAAACCTAACAATACTGTACCCCACAAGGAGTGCCCCACTACAGCCTTCAACATGACACACCCGCACCGCAACATGGACATCATCACGTACGTGGCAGACGGCCGGCTTACTCACAAGGACAGGTGCGCGCAGCCTGCGACGCCCCTCCCTCCACCATCCTTGCGTTGTGCATCCACGCCTTTCGTGCACGCTATTCCATCCATACTACCCACAGCCGCTGACTGGGTAAGTTCATGCCAGTCGTTGTGAATATAACCTTCTTTCAATTGCTTCCCATTGCCATGAATCTACTTGCCCCTTGACCCTGGCCTGGCACCATGGGGACAGCGGAGACGTTGGGGCGAGGGTGGGTGCAGTACATGAGTGCGGGCACTGGGATCACGCACTCCAAGATGAACAACTCCAACCACCTGTACGCGCATGTGTATGTGACCAACAACTCTCCACATTGACATAATCTCATCAGCCTGGTTCACCCTGTGTTCCCTGTTGTAAGGCCTTTTGCCCTTTCCATGTGTTCCCTGTTCTCCTTCTCATCCGTGCCTGCATACAATGGTTCATCAGATCTGGGTGAAGCCGAGCGCAAGGGGTCTCAAGCCTAACAATGGCTCGCGCACCTTGTGCGATCAAGCGCGATCAGCTCGTTGCTCCTCTACATTCTTCAGCACGCATCATTTCCGTTGTCTCCACCCATTATTCCACTCACATCCATTGATTCGTTATCTGGTCCATCATTCTCACTTGAACAAGTATAGCACGCTGCGTTCAAGAATCATACTTGTGTTGACTATATGTGCTACCAAGGTGAGTGGAATGTGCTTCAAGTAGCTCTGACTTGTCTCTCTTTCCTTCTCAACCTCGTCGTGGCTACAGCAAGAGCGATCACCACAACAAGCTACAGCAAGTAGTCACCAGCTATGACCGTTATGGTTCCAATAAGGATGCGGGATCGGGAATCATTCCCGTGAATCAAGACGTCAACATCTTTGTGTCGGAGATGGATGGCTCGCTGCCTGGTGCTACTACGAGGAGCTTTGAGTACACACTACAGAGGGGGCGGCAGATGTACCTGCTGTGCATTGAGGGCGGCCTAAGAGTGACCTCCAAGGACAGTGGCATCAAGGAGATACTCACTTCCTGTGATGCCCTGCAGGTACTATGCCTTTCAGCACCTCCATCATCCTTTTTGAACTCACTAGAATTGATCTCACAAATAATCGCCTATGGTCGTCTAGCAGGTTGCTGCGCCGTCAAAAGGAGACATGTCTCTCACGTTTCAGCCTGATGATGCTTCTGGAGCGCACATTTTGTTCCTGGAGATGGCCAGAACAGTTTGAGCTGATGTGTTTGAAGCCATTCTGTATTTCTTTTTACAGCAATGAGTTGTCTTTCTACCAGTTCTTCACGGTGGCAAATGGCAGAGGGTTCACCCACACTCCGCCCACACAAACCAGCCAAAAAGCTTCCAGGAATGAACGCACACAGTTGAACTCCCATCACTAGGCTTACCGTAGGAGTCAGAACAGGATGCTAGGGAGCATGCTGTGTTCCCTATCCATTTTCTGTGAACTTTCTGTTGCTTAGGTTGGGCCTCATAACCTGGCTGGCTTACTTGGCTTATTAAAATAACAGGACAGCTTCTTTCGTGTATCTTTGTGTGAAATTATGAGGGGCTCCTTCGTCGCATCATTTGACGCATCAGGTGTTGCTCACATCACATCCGAGCATCAGGTTGTGGCGACAAGGGACTACGGTAGCTTGTGTGGCTACTCCTTACACAGAGCATGGCAGGGAATCAAATGATAGCAAGAAGGCCAGATTGCAAGAGGTCGGCATACATGAGCTGGTTCCAGGTGTCAGGCACGCCAGGCAGGAACCAGTGCACGCAGTCACGAATCATTCGCCCCCCTCGCCCCCGCGTTACAGCGCCATCGCCCTGCCCCACCACAGACCCATTCACCACCTCTCGTGGCAGCAGCCGCCTGTGGGGCAGCAGCGGTTGCTCTGACATGAACGGGTGAGGCAGAGGGGGGCCGTTGAGGAGCAGGGGGAAGGCGACGACGTGGGCGTCTGGGCGCATGAGGGAGAGGGGGAGGGCGTCCAGCAGGCGCAGCCACGGGATGCTGGGCTGCCCCCACGTGGACTCATGCACGGCCAAGGCAGAGGGTGGGGCGCCAGGCATAGTGGCAGCAAGGTCATCAGAGGCGGCAAGGTCATTCCCGTGAATCAAAACGTCAACATCTTTGTGTTGGAGATGGATGGCTCGCTGCCTGGTGCTGCCGTGAGGAGCTTGGAGTACACACTGCACAAGGGGCGGCAGATGTACCTGCTGTGCATTGAGGGCGGCCTAACAGTGACCTCCAAGGAGAGTGGCACCAAGGTGACACTCGATGCCTGCGATGCTCTGCAGGTATGCGCTTCACCACGTCCTTCATCCCCACTTCTATTCCATTCGAAAATAATGCATTTCTAATTGCCAATTGTTGTTATGCAGGTTGCTGCGCCCAGAAAAAGTGACATGCCTCTCGCGTTTCAGCCTCATGATGCTTCTGGAGCTCACATTTTGTTCCTGGAGATGGCCAGAACAGTTTGAGATGCAATTGTGAATGCATGCTGTATTTCTGTTCACAGCAATGAGTTGTCAGTTTTTCAGTGTCAAATGGCTGGGTGCCCATGCTCACCCACACAATCCACCCAGTAACCTTGTTGGAAGGAACGAGCACATGTGAGCTGGCTAGGCTTGGGAGAACAGTACCAGTAGGCACAAGGAACCAGTTGCTCAGCAGCCAAGTACTGTGCGGTGGAGAAAAGCACGGCTGGAACAGCAGCAGCAGAGCAGAGGAACCATCGGCCCAGCAGAACACCGGCCTCGCTCGGCGGGTGGTGAACGACACAGAGGAAGGAGGTTGAGCTGAGACATGTTTGAGAGGGGAAGCATGGCAGCTACCGGTAGTAGACGGCAGGTTGGCAAGGCAACTGCCTGTAATTGTCATTGTACCCTTGTGTGCGGGAGAGCATGTTGCGCTTCCTCCTCCATCCCTCTGTTCCATGCACCTCGTGCATGCACACTCCTGTGGGATCATGACGTGTTCCTTCTTTGCATTCTTTGTTGCGTAATCTATTGCTCACTCTTGGGGCAGCTGCTGGCTGGACGGGTTACGGTAAGCAGCTGCTCAATATGGCAGCACAATGAGAATCAAGTGACAGCAAGAAGGCCAGATTGCAAGAGGTCGGCATACATGAGCTGGTTCCAGGTGTCAGGCACGCCAGGCAGGCACCAGTGCACGCAGTCACGAATCATTCGCCCCCCTCGCCCCTGCGTTACAGCGCCATCGCCCTGCCCCACCACAGACCCATTCACCACCTCCCGTGGCAGCAGCTGCCTGTGGGGCAGCAGCGGTTGCTCTGACATGAACGGGTGAGGCAGAGGGGGGGCGTTGAGGAGCAGGGGGAAGGCGACGACGTGGGCGTCGGGGCGCATGAGGGAGAGGGGGAGGGCGTCCAGCAGGCGCAGCCACGGGATGCTGGGCTGCCCCCACGTGGACTCATGCACGGCCAAGGCAGAGGGTGGGGCGCCAGGCATAGTGGCAGCAAGGTCATCAGAGGCAGCAGCTGTAGCGGCAGCAACAGCAGCGCTGGCAGTTGCTACAGCTTCCTCTGCAGCGGCATCACGGCAGTCGGCAGCATGTGCGCAGGCTGTAGCAGGTGAGAGGGGCTCCTGGAGGGAATGGGTCGCAGGGGAGGAGAGGGAGAGGAAGGAGGGAGAAGTAAACATGAGATGCTTGTGGGGTGATGGGGAGCAGCTGTGCAGCACAGCACTACCAGCTGCTACAGCAGCACACGCAAAAAGTGCACATCAACGTACCTTAAACAAGCTGAATTGGCATGCATTGCTCTCTGCACTCATTGCATGCATTGCTCTCTGCACTCACCGCATGCATTGCTCTCTGCACTCACCGCATGCATTGCTCTCTGCACTCACCGCATGCATTGCTCTCTGCACTCACCGCATGCATTGCTCTCTGCACTCACCGCATGCATTGCTCTCTGCACTCACCGCATGCATTGCTCTCTGCACTCACCGCATGCATTGCTCTCTGCACTCACCGCATGCATTGCTCTCTACACTCACCGCATGCATTGCTCTCTGCACTCACCGCATGCATTGCTCTCTGCACTCACCGCATGCATGTCACAGCGGCCACCAGATTGAAAGGTGCCGCCGGTGAAGTGGCTGGGCGAGGCGGAGCGCAGGAAGATGACGGGCGGAGCGGCACGGGCAGAGCGGACAGCGGCGAGCGCCAGCGAGCGCATGACTGCCAGCAGTGCCTGCCTGCGCAGGCCAGCCATGAATGGCGTTGACTCCAATTGACTCTCAGACGGCATGAACGGGCGCGCGGTGGGGGAGTTCTGCACGGCCTGCTGGTTGGCTCTGAAACTGTGTGGAGGGGGGAGGTGGTTGGAGCGATAGCGAGACAAAGGATAGAGGAGTGGGGATGAGGAGTGGGAATGTAGGGCGGGCGGAACGAGGGGTGTGTGATGATCAAAACACAAACCGAGGCTGGCTGCCCTACTGCGTGCGTGCCTCGCCTCGTACGCACCTGCTGGCAGTCCAGTGGTTGGCAGTGCTGAGCACGACCACGTCCAGGCGCCACAGGTGCTGCAGCAGCCACTCGTCCGCCTCATACACCCGAACCACCCGCCGGTACTGCCTCCTCCTCCCCGCTCCCACTTGCCGCCGCCCCTGCCCGCCCTCCTCCCTTCCCTCCTCCACACTCTCCCCCTTACTCCCCCCTTCCTTCTTCTCATCCTCCCCCCCCTCCTCCTCCTCCTCTCCCTCTTCCTCCACGGGCACGGCAGCGGGCAGCATGTGCTCGTGGCACAGCAGGTTGGAGGTGCGCTGCAGCAGCGTGGTGTTGCTGCCAGGCAGCCACACAGCAGCGCCCCTGGCAGTTCCGCGCACGAGGCGCGCCCCATGTGAGGTTGAAGCGCCACCCCACGTCCACCACCGCCACGCCCTGCCCGCCCCCGTTGACTGCGTTGAGCGGGCGGGTGTGGTTGGGGGGCAGCACTCGGGGGTGTGGGGCGAGCAGGCAGAGCAGCGAGAGGAACTGCTGGCGGCTGAGCGAGTCGCCCACCAGCGCCACCGTGCGGTGCTGCATCCTGCTCACGCATGGCGGGTGGAGAGGAGGGGAGGAAGAGGGGAAAGAGGGGAAAGAGAAGAGGAGCGGAGGAAGAGAGGAGGTGAGATGTTGCGTGGCGTGGCAAGTTAGAGAGTAAATGGCACCGCCAGTTGCCAGTGAAGGTTCTGTGTGTGGCATTGCAGCAGGGCGGGGATAGGGCAGAGGAGTTTAAAAATGAGGTGATGGCGCAGGGAGCGAGCAATGAGAGCCGAGGTGCCATGGCTTTGCCTGGCGCCTGGTGCGCTGCAGTGGGCGCCAGGTGGGGTGCGCGTGAGGGTTGTGGTGGGCAGCGTGAGGGTTGTGGTGGGCAGCGTGAGGGTTGTGGTGGGCAGCGTGAGGGTTGTGGTGGGCAGCGTGAGGGTTGTGGTGGGCAGCGTGAGGGTTGTGGTGGGCAGCGTGCGTGCCTGAGGAGAAAGTCAGAGGCGTTGAAGGCAGGCACGTCGCACCCATGGGGCTGCCACCGATACTCCTCAAACGCAAAGTCCCGACTCATGCCCTCCCCCTCCCCCTCCCCGTCCCATCCTGTCCCCCCTCCTCCTTGCCTTGATCTCCCCCCTTTCTGCTTCTTCGCTCGATCTGCTCTCCCTGCTGCGGCGTCCTTTCATTCGCCCCTGCATCACTCGTCTGCACCCAACCAACCCGCCAACCTCCCTCTGCTTCCTCCTGCCGCCCTTCCTCTTGTACCCGTCGCCTTTGCCGCATGTTGTCTTCGGATTCTGCATTTCCGCGTTGCTTCCCCCGGCGATCTCCACCGGCAGTTGCATGTGCCGGCAGTTGAATTTCTCCCACAGGCACTGCGATATCCAGAAGCACTCCCCGCCGTGGTAATAACGAGAAATGGGTGTTCTCGCGTCCCTGACCCATCGACCCTGGTACAAGTGACAGTAAGGGGAAGATCCAGAGCGCTGGCTTGAATGAGTGTCACGAGGTGGGCTCCTCGATTCTCGCTGCTGTGATTCAGTTTCGGCTTCGAATGAAGATTCAAGCGATTTTAAAGGGGCATTTTCTTCTAGCGAGAGCTTTTCAGAGAGGGCAAGGGGGGAATCTCCCCCCGGAAAGTTCTCTCCGGCCAGAAGGTCGTTTCGGCTGCTGCTGTCGGTCGGCGATCAGCCAATAGGACGCGAGAACGACCGCTACCAGCAGCAACAGAAACCCTCGATTGCCCAGGATATCTGTTCGCGAAGGCATTTCGCACAAGCGATGGTGAAACCCGCATAGGTTCTCGCGGAAGGGAGTCCTGGCGCTGGGCCAGCGGGCCTCGTAGTATTAGGGACGCGTCGTGTCGGACGGCGAAGCGAGAGCGAGTGGCAGCGAGCTTTGGGTCAAGTCATTGCAGAAGGCATGGTGCACGTGGAACGAGATGGCGATGCGCGCGAGCTAAGGTTCATAAGTGGGTATGTGGACGTATTACGGATTCCGACAACGTTGCACCTAGGTGGCTCTAAGCCATCCTCGCTATAGCATGATTGTTTCAAGCGTTGGCGGCTTTCACGAAAGAGCACAACCTGATTATGATTGCGATACGACCTGTGGGGAAAGCCGATCCATATTGGTCCATCAATTGAATACAAATACATATTGTGAAAGCTTGCTTAGTCCATCTTGCAAAGGCAGCGTGCTTCATTCCAAGTGGGGTATTACAACGTTCTCGTACATCCATGATACACAATGGGGTGGGTGGTGGGAGAGTAAACTAGAAAATTGTAAATGAAGAACGTGGGTGGAGCTATTGAACTCACGTTCCTCTTTTGTAGGCAAAAGAGGGGTGAGTAGCGTCGAACCGCTGCCTTTGCTTTGCTGGCCACGTCCTCGCTTTCACAATACGAAATTTTAAAAAGTGTTACACTTTTAAAAAATATAATGTCTGTGCGAAACCACTTTACCCATGTGCGTTCAAAAGGTACACCCCGTATGGTCAGCTGCATACACCAACATCTTTCGACAGCTGCTCTCCCCTCCTCTCTTTTCCCATCCACGCCCTCACATCTCATATGGCGTTCACAGAAAGTTCCCCAAAGCGAACCGCGCTCAACAATAGTGCACAGATATTTGTGAAGCACGTGTTTGAGGTTGCTTCACGAAAGTTTGTCATGAACGATCTTGAAGTCTACGGGGTTACATGCCCCTGATTGGGTTTGATGATTCGAAGTGTCGGTGCGCAGAAACAGCGACAGGTCAGCAGTCGACGGAGCAAACCCAAGAGCCGCAAGTGTCATCCTCAGTGTGTCGTGCCACTCACGTGGCGCCTGGCAGAGACCGTAGACCAGCCGCCGGAGGCTCCACTGGGTACCAGGAGGGAACGACCCACTAAAGCCAGGCGGGTGGCACAGCCAGATCTCCTCGTGCAGGCTGCCCTGTAGGAGCAGTGCTGAAGTCAAAAGAGTGAAGCTCATAGTCACGCTGAGCGGCAACGTGGAGCAGCACCCGAAGAGTGGTCATCTTCGGGGTGGGGGAGAAGGTCTGGAAGAAGTCAACTCCCTCTCGGTGACTGAAACCTCGAGCAACGTAAGGAGCCTTGAAGACAGGCGGAGAGCCTGGCGGTAGAGGAACACGCTCCGCTGTAGAGCCATGAGGTGTGTGCCGGGGACAGCCGGCAGACGCGGACGAGGAACACGACGACCAGTGCGGACAGGCGAGACAGGACGCGACGCAGTCTCACGACGCTCAGCAAGACCTCCTAGCTGCTGAATGTAAAAGCGTGTACAAAGTAATATTCTACAGTTTTTTACGTTGAAGGCTCGACGTCGGTCGACGTCGTGCTCGACGTCGATTGACGTTGAGCGCGGCACTTTGAACACAATGCCGGCGACGAACTTCCACTCAAGACAAATGCCGGCCTAAATAGTAGAACAATTGAATTCAGACGAATTTGGATAATCTCATGGCTTTTTTCGTATGCAAAGACAGTGCGTTTAATGGCTGCGAAAAACCTGAGAAGAAGTGAACGAGAAAAAATGAATCAACTATGAATGAAGTGAGTACATATAGGAAACCCTGATTGGGTTGTACCCCCTATGGGATACCCCACTATAGCCTACACAAATATATATAAGCTATAATGTTCTGACACACCCCCATAGGCAAAGTGGGGGAGAACAAGGGGTCACAAGACCAGTCAAGCAAAGCAAAGCAAAGCTCAGGGTGGATCACAAAGTCACCACACATTCCGAGCACAAGGTCAAAGGCCAGAAGGCCAGTTCACATGCAAGATCATATAAAGAGATATACAAGAGGCAAGCAAGCAAGAGCAAGAGTATATATAGGTAAAAGTACAAGCACGGTCAAGAAGTGAGCAAGTGAGGCAAGACACGCACAAGGCCCAGCTGCGTGCAGCAGCGCTGATGATCACAAGGCGCAAGTGCCTTGGTGAAGACATCAGCAGTGTTGGCCTCAGAGGCCACGTACGCAAGTCGCAACTGTCCACGCTGCTGTAGCTCACGAGCAAGAAAGTAGCGCATAGCAATGTGCTTTGTCCTGTGCTCCAGTCACTGATCTCGACACAAAGCCAGCATGGCCTTTTTGTCTACGTACAGGACTGGAGGAGAACGAGGCGGCTCTCCAAGGTCGGCCAGCAGGTAGGTGAGCCAGCGTAACTCCTGTGCAGCCATGGCCCCGGCGTAGATCTCAGCCTCACAACTGGAGCCGAGAACAGAAGACGAGCGGGTAGCCTGCCACGAAACAGAGCCGGGAACCAAGACTGAAGGTGTAACCCTGTGACGACCGCTGCGTAGCCTGGTCGTCAGCCCAAGAAGCGTCTGCGTGCCCAGTGAGGACCACTGGACTCCGCCCTCCAAGCACTAGCCCCATGCCCGACGTACTGCACAAGTAGCGCAACACCCTCTTCGCTGCAGCCATGTGCTCTGGTCGGTTGTCTCCCAGGAGCAACATAGCGTGCAAGAATGCTCAGAGGGTATGCAAGGTCAGGTCGTATGCTGGTCATCAGGTACATGAGGCAGCCAACAAGCTCTGCATACGGGCCACTCGACTCTACGGACTCATCCGAAGGCAGAGCTGAGAGCGAGTGGCGAGTAGGCAGAGGAGTGGCCTGAGGCGAGGAGTACGTGAAGCCGAAGCGCTGAAGGACCTGCTGCACCATGTGTGACTAAGTCAGGGTAATGGTGCGGCGTGCTCTGTCACGGGTGATCTGCAAAGCCAAGGTAGCTGCGCAGTTCACCCAGGTCTGTGCACGTGTGTCTCTTCTGCAGCTCGGACTTCACGTAGGCGAGTCCGCAGTGTCAGCTGTGGCAAAGACCAAGTCGTCGACGTACACGAGGATGTAGAACGGCGGCAGAGGAGGTGTCGGTGCGCAGAAACAGCGACGGGTCTGGAGTGGAGGGAGCAAACCCAAGTGCCGCCATCGTAGTCCTCAGTGTGTCGTGCCACTCACGCGGCGCCTGGTGGAGGACCATAGACTGGACGCCGGAGACTCCACTGGGTACCAGAAGGGAAAGACCCAGTGAAGCCAGGTGGTGGGCGACGTAGCCAGATCTCCTGTGCAGGCTGCCCTGCAAAGAAAGCAGTGCCTTGAAGTCGAGAGAGTGCAGCTCGTAGTCACGGTGAGCAGCAAGGTGCGCAGTACCCAAAGAGTGGTCATCTTCGGGGTGGGGGAGGAAGGTCTGAAAGTAGTCAACTCCCTGCCGGCTGACTGAAACCGCGAGCCACGTACGCGCCTTGAAGACAGGCGGAGAACCCGGCC